ATAAATATAATATATTTATTATAATAAATATATTATATTTATATTATTTATATTTAATATTTATTATATTAATTATATTTAATATTTATTATATTATATATAAATATATTATATTTATATTATATATAATATATTTATATTATAATAAATAGTTATATTTAAATATTAATATTGTTTTAAAACAATGACAGAATCTCCTATATAATTCCTCACTGCCCCATACATAGTCCCTGGCTCTCACATGCAGATTTCAACCTTTACTGACCATGTGACAGTTTCTGTAACATAGGTAAATTTTACATAGCCAGAAATCCTCAAGTGCAAAGAATTCTTCATTAATCCTTACTTCTTAAGGATAAAGAAAGCTGGTCAGCCAGCCTGGTCTACAGAACGAGTCCCAGGGCAGCCAGGGCTACCCAGAGAAACTCTTTCTGGAGCAATGAAAAAATAATTAAGTAAATAAATAAAGGGTAAAACAAAGAACCACACTTTGTTTTATCTCAATAACCACTTATGTCCACATATTAAAGGGAGTCTACCATAGTCCCAAAGTATATTAAACTTAAAATATGTACTATTTCAGTCATGAAAATTAAGTGATGAGACAGACTCACCTTCCTTTGGAGGCATTTCTAATTTGGACCATGGTAACAGGTAGGCAATTTCACTCTCTTGTTTATTGATGAAGTTCAAATTTGGATTGAGGAACCGTTTTTGCCATTCTTTATCATTGGCCAAGGCTTTGTAAACTTCAGTTCGATGAGCAAAATCATCTATGGTAGAAAAGAATGGAGGAAAGTTTTAAAAATCATCTAGGCTTCTTTGGATTATATCCAAATCATTGATCATTCTTCTGGAGCATACAAGAACACATGCAGTGGACTGGGAACAGCCTCCTGAAGAGACATCACATCCAGCTGCTCCTGGTCTTCAGGATAAGAGAAACGGAAACAACATTGCAATCTCACTGAATGGGCTTCACAGGTTCTAAGCGTTAAAGGTAGCTGTGTGCAGGAGTTAAGTTACTGCGGGTTTCTGGGCTTTGTTTCTCAGTCTGTGACATGGTAAATGACATACTATCAACTTCCAGGTTTGCAGTGATGATTAATAGCTAAGAAGGGCTTACAGCAGTGTTTAACACTTACATGTGGACTATTGTTATTTAAGGGAGGCATCTAACTGACAGTGTCAGCTGAAAGATGAATTTTACTTCGGTAGTGATGGTAGGTGGTCAAGCTATATCTTGAATAAGTGAAATTTGAAAGTACTCGGTATCATTTCCTTTGAACAAATAGCTTTCAAGGGAATAGTGACAATTCTCTTACTACCCATTCTTTCTCCCCAGCACTCATTTCTCTGCTTTCTAAGTTACTGAAACAGGTAGATATATTTAACAATGCCTGGGCACAGTATACTTATTGTAAAGACCACATGACACTAAGGTAAAATATTTATATAGTTTATGCGAGGAATAAGAAATAACACCTGCTTTAGAGCCTAAAGCGGGGCAAATTAGGACTTAATTACTTTTCTCTACGGGCCACGGTTTAACATGAACCACATCTAAAGAGTAAGTTGTATTATTGGTGTTTTCTTCTTTCAAATGGAAACAAAACAAAACAAAACAAAACCCAATGCATACCTTTCATCCACAGAATAAATCTTTTCTCATTAACAAATTTTGTGAACATTAATTGAACATGGATGATCAAACACTAAAAGTAATTAACTATTAAGAGTTTGCTGAGCTTCTTCAAGTCCTGATACCAGCTGTTAAGATTAGACTTTTAAAACTAAGAAGCATCCTGAATAATTTTATACTTTGTTCTTTTCCAAGGCAGTGCAGCTTCAGTATGAAAAGGATGCTTCATAGTATTAAAAGTAAAATTCTTTAAATTCTTAAAGTAGCGTGGCAGTGAATTTCTTAATACTCTGGGATATGGAAATGAACTGAAAATTGTATCTAAATGGAATGGAGTTGATAAGCCCCAGGGCTGAGGGAAGGTCAAATCCCGCCATTCTCTCTCTCTCAACCTCCATTTTCTCAAAATCCTCAATGTAGAAACCGCTTCCACTAAGATGCTGATAACCATCAGCATCAGAAGCCTCTTCCATTCTGTGATATAACCTACTTGGGCTTTTGTGAACAGTTTTAGATTTTGCATTAAATCAGTTTTCCAATAAGTAACTGCGAGTTTTTGAATGGCAGTCTAAACGTTTAATGAACTGATAGATGAGAACTCCTTTCCCCAGTTATAATGTTAGATTTTGGGAAAGGGTTATAAAATGTGGACCAAGAAGAAGGTCCTGCATTTTTTTTTTTTAAATTCTGCATGCTTTAAGAAGCGCTCCCCTTGACCCATATCTACTGTGTAGATCCATCTAAGCCTCAAGTAATACCAGAATCTCTACCCTCTACTGAACATTTCAGCCAGGTGACTCATACCATACTTCCAAATATGGAACACTGTGTTTATTCTGCCTCCAAATTCTACTATCCAATATCCAACCAATTCAGAATAAGCCGTCCGAAGATGAACGTTGTTCTTAAAATTTTGCACGAACTCTTCCATCTTTGAGGGTTTCAGATAGCAAGTACAAAACTCATAGAATGCTCCATCCTTTTGTTTATGGCCAGTAGCAAAAGATGAGCACATCTGAGGAAAGAGAAATCAAATCTCAATATTTGGGGGAAGGGAGAATTTGTGTTACCTTAAATCCAAATCTGGCTCAGTTAACAAGGGGCACAATAGTGGAATCATAACTCCTGTTTCCATTCCTCCTTCCAACTCTCCATAGATGTGTTTTAGTGGATTCAAAGATAACTACTGTTAAACATGTGGGATTTCCTTAAGCCTCCTTTTCATGGAAAGTTGCCCCGGAGTCAGTGCTATCTCTGAGATGCTCCTGTGCCAGAGATTCAGTTAGGATTCACATTTTTTTTCCAAGACAGGGTCTCTCTGTGTAGCCCTGGCTGTCCTGAAAGTCACTCTGTAGACCAGGCTGCCCTAGAACTCAAAGAGATCTACCTGCTTCTACCTCCCAAGTGCTGAGATTAAAGGCATGTGCCACCACTGCCTGGACAGATTCACATAAATTGTTTTCCATTATATTCTTTTAATTTACGGTGTATGTGACTCCAGTTACATACCTGACAGAACTCTGTAGACTGTCTGTCTTTGGGTATATACAATGAACATGTTTACTAAAAGAAAAAAAAAAATCATTTTGTTTTGGTTTTCGAGACAGTGTTTCTCGGTTAACCGTCCTGGCTATCCTGGAACTCTGTAGAGCAGGCTGCCCTTGAACTCGCAGATATCTGCCTGCCTCTGCCTCTTTAGTACTGGGATTAAAGGCATGTACTACCATACCTGACCTAAAGAAAACTTTCTAGAAAAGAGAAATTGCTGTTCAGTTTGAAGAATTGTTCCTACATTCAGCAGATATAGAAGCAGAATGTACGCAGTACATTAGGATGCTATCTCTATCCAACTGCTTTACAAAATTTGGTAATAGATCAGTGCTTATCAACCTTCCTAATGATGCGACCCTTTAATACAGTTCCTATGTTGTGGTGACCCCTAACCATCAAGTTAATTTGTTGCTACTTCATAACTGCAATTTTGCTACTTTTATGAATTGTAATGTAAGTGTCTGATTTACAGGATATCTGATATGTGACCCCAAAGGGGTTATGACCCACAGGTTGACAACTACTGTAATAGACTATGGATGCTAAAAAAAAAAAAAATCATTGCCAGAATTGCCTGAATCAATATTAGTTTCTAATGAGAATTATAAATTGAAGATGGGCTTTAGTGCATTCAGTTGTACCAATGTGGTAGAAATGCCTCTCAAGTATCTTTTTTTTTTTTTAAGTAGTTACTGTGTAAGCTTCTAGTTTTTATTCTGAGAGCACTTTTCCCTAGGAAATACTCTGTTAGAAATTACGTTGTGTATGTATCTGTACATATGCACACATTATATGACACTGTACTATAAAAACTCATCTTATTTTCAAATTGGATTATCATGCACCCATTTCATGAAGCTAATAATAACACAGACATTTGTTAAAGCAAGTCAGATGCATATAAAAGTGTGGAAAGATCATTGCACACATTGACAACTTAGTCTGAATAGAAAAAAAAAACAATCTTTTTCTTCTTGATAAGTTTTTGCTTATAAAACACTACCTTATTTAAAGTTTAATATAATTTCCTCCCTTTAGTTCATTCCATTCCATTGACTCTGAACTATATTCTTACTGCTTGTCTTAGGGTTTTATTGTTGTGAAGAGACACCATGACTATGACAACTCTTATAAAGAAAAGATTTAATTGGCACTGGCTTACAGTTTCAGAGGTTTAGTTCTTTGTCATCATGGCAGTGTCCAGGCAGACATGATGCTGGGGAAGGAGCTTAGAGCTCTATATCTTGATCTGCAGGCAGCAGAAGGAGACTGGGAGCCATAATGGGCATAGCTTGAGCACATAAAAGACCTCAAAGCTCATCTCCACAGTGACAAACTTCCTACTCCACACCTACTCCAATAAAGCCACTTCCTATGGGCCAAGCATTCAAATGCATGACTCTGTGAAGGCCTTACCTATTCAAACCACATTTCACTCACTCGTAGCCATAACAATGTAAAATGCATTTCCCCACTGTCTATCACAGTCTCAACAATATTTAAAACTCCAAAGTTCAAAGTCTCCTCTGAGATTCATGCAATCTTTTAATTGTAATTCCTTATAAAATAAAAATAAAAAATGGATCACATACTTCCGACATATATTGGCACAGAATATCACCATTCTAAAACATAGGGAATGGAGCATAGTGATGAAACACTGGACCAAAGCAAAACTGAACACCAGCTGGGCATACTCCAAACTCTGCATCTCCATGTCTGATGTCAAAAACGTTTTTCAGATCTCAAACTCCTTTCCGCTTTGTTGACTGCAACACATTTCTTTCTCTTGGGCTGATTATAGTCCCATTTAGCAGCTCTCCCCAGCAGCTGGCATTTCTAACATCTGGGGTCTCCAAGGAAATAAGACTTCATATTCACAGCTTCAAACAATGGCCTTTCTAGGCCTCCATGCAAAGAAACCCCTGGCCTCAGTGACTTTCCTTAGTTGTGGAGGAAGATTCCATAACCCCTTTCTTTTAGTCTTGACTCTTAAGCCAGACCCAGATGACTGAAACTGCCAAGAAAACTTTCTAAGGATGCAAGCTGTGGCATACTGGGGCTGGAACATGGCCTTTCATTTAATCACACCTTCAACTTTCTGCTTTCTATGTTTCCTTCACTGCCTAAGTTTGGCTGTCCTGGAACTTGCTCTGAAGATCAGGCTGGTCTTGAACTCAAAGATCTGCATGCGTCTATCTCCTGAGTGCTGGGATTAAAATCATGTACCACCATGCCTGGACCTAAACTGTTTTTTAATTCCTTCTCACAAGATGGAAGCTTAGCTGAGTAGGATCTTGCATTATACTTTCCACTCCTTTTATTCCATTTAATATCCTTAATCTGTTTATCTCCTTGAACACAGAATTTAGTGCCATTTTACTTCCTGGTTTCCCCTTTCTCCTTGAATCACACATTGTGTATTTTTCCTTGCTCAGCTTGCTCCTCTTCATCAAAATGCTCTTCATAAGAGTGAACATTACACAGTGTACATCACCACAGACACAGTATATATTAGGCTATTCTAAGATTTTCTTTTCCAATGTAATTAATCCAAAACTCTTCACTTTAGCCTCAGGTAAACCTTTCTGACAAGAGCAAAAAGCAACCAAACTGTTTGCCAAAAATATAACAAGAACGGTTTCTAGGCCACATATTAACATTCTTCTCTGGAACCTCTTGAGCCAGGCCCCCACTGTTCAAATCACCCTCAGCACCACTGTCTTCCGTGTTCCTACTAGGGTGGTGCATTAAGCTCCACTTAAAGCATTCAACCGCTTTTCTAATCCATAGTCCCAAAGTCCACGTTCCTCCAAAAACATGGCCAGGCTTATCACAGTGATACTCCACTCCTGGTATCAACTTCTGCCTTAGTTAGGGTTTTATTGCTGTGGAGACACACTGTGCCCATGGTAACTCTTACAAAGAAATCATTTAATTGTGGCTGGACTACAGTTTTGGAGGTCTGGTCCATTACTATTATGGCAGTGCCCAGGCAGACATGCTGCTGGAGAAAGAGCTGAGAGTTCTATATGTTCATCCACAGGCAGCAGAAGGAGACTGTACGCCACACTGGGCATGGCTTGAGCATATATAAGACCTCAACACTCACCTCCACAGTGACACACTGCTTCTAACAAGGCCACACCTACTCAAATAAGGCCACTCCCTATGGGATAAGCATTCAAACCCATGAATCTATGGGGGCTACACCCATCATGTTAGGTTTGGGGAGGAAGCTGAGAAAACTCACTTTAGAGATGAAAGCTTAAAAATGAAAGCTTTATTTCTCTAGGGTGGCCAGCTAGGGCACCCTGGAGGGAAAGCTGTATTGCATATGTAAAGGATAAAACCACAGTGAAAGGGGGATCAGAGTGGGCTGTAGTATTGTCCAATCATATTTTGACTTAAGGGTTTGAGAAAGGGAATTTCCATTAATCAGGATAGGAGTAGGTTCCTGGGCCTGGGAACATGAACTTGTTTGACCTGCCAGCAAGATGGAGAAGTTCCTGAGATGTCTGGACTCAGACAACTGTCTCCTTATTACAGAAACTGTTCAGCTATTGGGAAGTCCCAGTTTCCCTAGGGCCTGGGACCTTGAGCTTAATTTCTCCCTATGATTAAATGGGGTCTGAAAACGAAATGGTAGTACTTCGAATAACTTTCTTTTCCTCATTCCCAACACACCATACTGCTCGAATCAGTAAACCTTCTACAAAAATGTGCATTTGATGTACTTTTTATGTGCCTTTAAACCAAAAACATACTAATGGGACTATTATCTATAAAAATGAATAAAACATCATCAGAAGGTGAGCCAAATGAGTCAGTGACATTCACAATACTTTATAGGTTGATTCAATGAGTGAGTGTGCATTTAAAAACTGAAATAATTGTCAAAGGCACAAACTTTTATTAGATCTGGGCAAAATATACAGGAGGTAACCTTCAGTGAGAAGGAGGTGTGCGACTAGATAGAGATGCTTTTCCAGATTTCTGATGCAGAATCTGGATTACGTTAGGGAAAAATCTTGTGCTTCACAATGTCCAACTTAAGACCTGATCTTGCCAGCACTGACTCATTAAAGAGAATGTTTGTCTAAAAAAGAAAAACCAAAGTCAAGAAAACTAAGTACAGCGAAATACTGTAAGGAAACAATTGGTGACGTTGCACGGAGAAGGCTGGGTGAACAGCCATTGGCCATTGGTTACTTCTTTAATGTTTCCTTGCTTCTAGACTAGTTCAACTTCATTCCTTTTCTACTACTTGGGTAAGTAAAAGTCCGGACCAGAAAAAAAAAAGTGGGTTTATTCCCTGGATAAGCCTGTGCTCAACAGGGCTGCGCGGTGTGCAGTCCCGCCCTAACTGATGGGAGCTCCTGGGCACGGTTACCTCGCCACCACTCGCAGGTGCCGGGGAAGCGAGACCTACTCTTCGCGGCCAGGCTCACCTGAGCGCCTGCGCAGTACTCTCGCGCCCCACAGGCTCCGCCCACTTCCTACCTGCGGCGCCAGAGCCCGCCGGGCCAGCGCCCTCCGCAGGCCGCTTCGGAGGGCGAGCATGGCGGAGCCCGGAGCGCGCCGGGAGTCCCGCCTGGGGCTGGGACTCGCGCTCTCCCGCTTCCTGGTCCGCGCGCCCGCTCGGTTACGTCTGTGCTGGGCCCGGTTGGCGGCGCGCCTCCGACGCTCCTGGCCCCGAGCGGACCTGTGCGGTCTGTGGGGTCGACTCCGACCCTTTGCTAGGCCTTTGTTCTGCGAGGTTCTGGCCGGGACGTCAGAGGTGATGTTGCAATGAGCAGAAGAACCCCGAGCTCCGTGCAGTTCCACGTCCTGGGTCGCCACGTGTCCTCCCCTCCCCCTAGGCACTAACACTGAAACGTGGGGCGATGCGTGGCTGTACGTGGGTGCTTTAGGCATCTCGAGGGGGGTGATGGTGTGGTACTGACCAGGAGCCTTCACCTTTATCACAGAGCGCTCTGCTGACCCCTGCATAGCCTGGGAGGCTTGGAATAAAGATGGGTGACAGGCCTGAAAGGAAACCTTTGCAATCATACGCAAGGAGGTCAAAAGTAAATTGTTGCAAGGAGGTCAAAAGTAAATTGTTCTATGCTACTTAAACCGCTGCCTTCTTAGGTTTTCCTTCTTTGATTGTTGGCACCCAGAAGAACTTCATCTAACACGTTAAAACTGTTTCCCCCCTATGGTAATGTCTCTGTTAGGTGTACTCTGGTGTTTTGTAGTTTTTTTTTTCTCTTTTTTTTAAAATTTTTTATTATTACACTTTATTCATTTTGTATCCCCCCATAAGCCCCTCCCTCCTCCCCTCCCGATCCCACCCTCCCTCCCCTTTCTGCATGCATGCCACGCCCCAAGTCCACTGATAGGGGAGGTTCTCCTCTTCTTTCTGATCTTAGTCTATCAAAAGTTCTCATCAAAAGTGGCTGCATTGTCCTCTACTGTGGCCTGATAAGGCTGCTCCCCCCTCAGGGGGAAGTGATCAACGAGCAGGCCAATCAGATTATGTCAGAGGCAGTCCCTCTTCCCATTACTATGGAACCCACTTGGACACTGAACTGCCATGGGCTACACCTGTGCAGGGGTTCCAGGTCATCTCCACGAATAGTCCTTGGTTGGATTATGAGTCTCTGGGAAGTTCCCTGTGTTCAAATTATCTTGTTCTGTTGTTCTCCTTGTGGAGTTCCCGTCCCCTCCAGCTCTTACTATTTCCCACTTCTTACATAGAATTCCATTCACTCTGCCCATCAGTTGGCCATCAGGCTCAGTATTTGCTTTGACAGTCTATACTGCAGAAGCTTTCAGAGGCCCTTTGTGGCAGGTTTCAAGGTTGTTTCCTGTTTTCTTCTGGCTTTCAGAGGCCCTCTGTAGCAGGTTCCGAGGTTGTTTCCTATTTTCTTTTTCTTCTGATGTCCATCCTCTTTGCCTTTCAGGATGGGGATTGAACATTTTAGTTAGGGTCCTCTATTTTGCTTAGTTTGTTTAGATGTACAGATTTTAGTGGGTTTATTCTATGTTGTATGTTTATATGAGTGAGTATATACCATTCGTGTTTTTTGCTTCTGGGACAACTCACTCAGGATGATCCTTTCCAGGTCCCACCATTTACCTGCAAATTTCATGATTTCCTTATTTTTCATTGCTGAGTAATACTCCATTGTATAGATGTACCACAGTTTCTGCATCCATTTTTCACTTGAGGGGCACCTGGGTTGTTTCCAGCTTCTGGCTATTACAAATAAAGCTGCTACAAACATGGTTGAGCAAATGTCCTTTTTGTGTACTTGAGCCTTTTTTGGGTATATGCCTAGGAGTGGTATGGCTGGATCTTGAGGAAGCGCTATTCCTAGTTGTCTGAGAAAGCGCCAGATTGATTTCCAGAGTGGTTGTACAAGTTTACATTCCCACCAGCAGTGGAGAAGGGTTCCCCTTTCTCCACAACCTCTCCAGCATGTGTTGTCCCTTGAGTTTTTCATCTTGGCCATTCTGATGGGTGTAAGGTGAAATCTCAGGGTTGTTTTGATTTTACATTTCCCTAATGGCTAATGAGGTTGAGCATTTCTTTAAGTGCTTCTCTGCCATTCGATATTCCTCTACAGAGAATTCTCTCTTTAGCTCTGTTCCCCATTTTTTAAGTGGATTACTTGGTTTATTGCTTTTCAGCTTGTTTAGTTCTTTATATATATTGGATATGAGTCCTCTGTCAGATATGGGTTGGTGATGATTCTTTCCCAATCTGTAGGCAGTCGCTTTGTTTTGATGATGGTGTCCTTTGTTTTACAGAAGCTTTTCAATTTCATGAGGTCCCATTTATTGATTGTTGCTCTTAGAGCCTGTGCTGTTGGTGTTCTGTTCAGGAAGTTTTCTCCTGTACCAATGAGTTCTAGGGTATTCCCCACTTTTTTTTTTCTAGCTGATTTAATGTGTCTGGTTTTATGTTGAGGTCTTTGATCCACTTGGACTTCAGTTTTGTGCAGGGTGATAAGTATGGATCTATTTTCATTTTTCTACATGTAGACATCCAGTTGGACCAGCACCATTTGTTGAAGATGCTATCTTTTTTCCATTGTATGGTTTTGGCATCTTTGTAAAAAATCAGGTGTCCGTAAGTGTGTGGGTTTATTTCTGGGTCTTCTGTTCGATTCCATTGATCCACCATTCTGTTTCTATGCCAGTACCATGCAGTTTTTATAACTGTTGTGCTATAGTACAGCTTGAGATCAGGGATGAGATACCTCCAGAAGATCTTTTATTGTAGAGGATTGTTTTAGCAATTCTCGGTTTCTTGTTATTCCATACGAAGTTGAGAATTTTTCTTTCCAGGTCTGTAAAGAATTGTGTTGGCAATTTGATGGGAATTGCATTAAATCTGTAGATTGCTTTTGGTAAGATGGCCATTTTTACTATGTTAATCCTGCCAAGCCATGAGCATGGGAGATCTTTCCATCTTCTCATATCTTCCTCTAATTCTTTCTTCAGAGACTTGAAATTTTTTTCATACAAGTCTTTGACTTGCTTGGTTAGGGTTACACCAAGGTACTTTATGTCATTTGTGCCTATTGTGAATGGTGTTGTTTCTCTAATTTCTTTCTCAGCCCTTTTGTCTTTTGTATACAGGAGGGCTACTGATTTTTTTGAGTTAATTTTGTATCTGGCCACTTTGCTGAAGGTGTTTATCAGCTGTAGGAGTTCCCTGGTAGAGTTTTTGGGGTCACTCATATATACTATCATATCATCTACAAATAGTGATAATTTGACTTCTTCCTTTCCCATCTGTATCCCCTTGATCTCCTTCAACTGTCTTATTGCTCTAGCAAGGACTTCCAGCACTATGTTGAAGAGATATGGAGAGAGTGGGCAGCCTTGTCTTGTCCCTGATTTCAGTGGGATTGCTTTAAGTTTCTCTCCGTTCAGTTTGATGTTGGCTATAGGCTTGCTGTAAATCGCTTGTATCCCTGATCTCTCCAGTACTTTAAACATGAATGGATGTTAGATTTTGTCAAATGCTTTTTCAGCATCTAGGGAGATTATCATGTGGTTTTTTTCTTTCAGTTTGTTAATATGGTGGATCACATTGATGGATTTCCGTATATTGAACCACCCCTGCATACCTGGGATGAAGCCTACTTGGTCATAGTGGATAATATCTTTGATGTGTTCTTGGATTGGGTTTGCAAGTATTTTGTTAAGTATTTTTGCATCAATGTTCATAAGGGAGATTGGCCTGAAATTCTCTTTCTTTGTTGAGTCTTTGTGAGGTTTAGGTACCAAGGTGATTGTGGCTTCATAGAATGAGTTTGGTAATGTTCCTTCTGTTTCTATTTTGTGGAATAGTTTGAAGAGAATTGGAGTTAGCTCCTCTTTGAAGGTCTGGTAGAATTCTGTGCTGAAGCCATCTGGTCCTGGGCTTTTTTTGGATGGGAGACTTTTGATGACTGCTTCTATTTCTTTGGGGGATATAGGACTATTTAATTGATTTACCTGGTCCTGATTCAGCTTTGGTAAGTCAAATCGATCAAGAAAATTGTCCATTTCATTTAGATTTTCAAATTTTGTTGAGTATAGACTTTTGAAGTAAGTCCTAATGATTGTTTGGATTTCCTCAGTGTCTGTAGTTATGTCCCCCTTTTCATTTCTGATTTTGTTGATTTGGGTGGTGTCTCTCTGCCTTTTAGTTAGCCTGGCTAAGGGTTTGTCGATCTTGTTGATTTTCTCAGAGAACCAGCTCTTGGTTTCATTGATTCTTTGAATTGTTTTATTTGTTTCTAATTGATTGATTTCAGCCCTGAGTTTGATTATTTCCAGCCGTCTACTCCTTTTTGGTGTGTCTGCTTCTTCTTTTTCTAGGGTTTTTAAGTGGGCCATTAAGTTGCTTGAATGAGCTGTCTCGAATTTCTTCTTGAAGGCACTTAGTGCTATGAACTTTCCTCTTAGCACTGCTTTCATTGTGTCCCACACGTTTGGGTATGTTGTGTCTTCATTTTCATTGATTTTTAGAAAGACTTTAATTTCTTTCTTTATTTCTTCCCTGACCCAGCTGTCATTTAGTAACAAGTTGTTCAGTTTCCATGTGTGTGTAGGCTTTTTGCTATTTCTGTTGTTGTTGAAGTCCAGCTTTATTCCATGGTGATCAGACAGGATACAAGGGATTATTTCAGTCTTCTTGTATCTGTTGAGGCTTGCTTTGTGACCAACTATATGGTCTATTTTGGAGAAGGTTCCATGAGGTGCTGAGAAGAAGGTAAATTCTTTTGTGTTTGGGTGTAAAGTTCTGTAAATGTCTGTGAGGTCCATTTGATTCATGACCTCTGTCAGAGATATTGTTTCTTTGTTTAATTTCTGTTTTGTTGACCTGTCCTTTGTTGAGAGTGGGGTGTTGAAGTCTCCCACTATTAATGTGTGGGGATCTATATGTGGTTTAAATTTTATCAATGTTTCTTTAACAAATGTGGGTGCTCTTGTATTTGGGGCATAGATGTTCAGGATTGTGATGTCTTCCTGGTGGAATTTTCCCTTGATGAGTATGAAGTGTCCTTCCCCATCTCTTTTTATTAATTTTGGTTGAAAGTCTATTTTATCAGATATTAGAATGGCTACTCCTGCTTGTTTCTTGGGTCCATTTGCTTGGAAAGTCGTCTTCCAACCTTTTACCCTCAGGTAATGTCTATCTTTGTGCCTTAGGTGTGTTTCTTGCATGCAACAGATTGCTGGGTTTTGTTTATGTATCCATTCTGT